CCATTTTAATGGATTGCTTTATTTTTGTTTCGTATCTGTGTATTGAGTGACGAAAGTCTCATTTTCATTTCAACCGCATCAATTGTATACTTTACATTCATTGGATGCAGACGTAGGAAAGCATAGCGTAGGAAGACGTAGGGTCAGAAAAAACTAACAGCTGAAGAAAATACTCCACTTTTCAGAACAAATTCTGTAGGGTGTAAAACACCTGTCTCAAAACGAAGTCTGCAAAAAATCGGATTTTGGAAATGCCTAGATTCGGAGTGAAACCGAACCAATTCTCGCTAAACGACAAGCGATTTTTATTTTAAAGTGTTCATGTATAGGTTGAAGGTGTTACCTCCTTGGTAAATTGTTTGAGGTTCTCTTCATGGGAAATACTTACTGTTCAAATTTTGCATCACATAGTTGAATTGGAAAAATGTAGATTTTTCCCTCTTAACTAAATATTTTCATCATAGGTATTTGCATAAATGAAATGGCTGATTTCGAATGATACTATTTGCATTACACATGCAAGTATTGAAATTCATATTTCAATGTGGTTAGAAAATTGATGATATCAAAATTATTTAGATTAAACATGCAGTTAAATATGTTTGTAACATGAATAAGACGAGTGATAAAATAATGCTAGTTTTATTTCGATTCAAAATTTAAGGTCTCGTATGGAAATAAAACGACAAATGTACTCAGATAAATGCACAGATTTATTAGAGAGTTTTCTTTAGAAAAAAAAGTATTTTACAACAAATAAGTGTACAACGGAATGTGAAGCTGTTGTGGGTTCTGTGATAAAGATGAGTATAATTGGCACTTAGGTTTATTTATCTCAATTGCTCTTAAATATCATTTATGTTAGACTATAATGAGACAAATGAACGTCATTTTTCATCAACAATAACTTATTGTAAGAACATAATAGGCGTATTTATTACTTTTGCGCCTCATATCGTGTGTTTTGTACTCGATTTTTTTTATGGTGTTGTCGTCGTTTGTGGATTGTTGGCATCCGGAGCCGTTAAATTTAATTTTTTGTCAACCGATTTGGCCCAATATTCTAGATCTTTGTTCGGTACAGGATAAGCATATAGAAATAGCGACGGGTGAATGTTCGCGAATGAGAATTCGGCCTCGGGTACTGGAGTAACTGAAGCAAAATTTGCTTCAGTTGTGCAGTTCTCTTTGCAATCTGGTGAAACAGTGGTCGGCACTTCACTGGGGAACGGAGCTAGAGGAACTGACGGAACATCAGGATTAATTGGGAAAGATGGACTGTATTGTGGGTTTGTTTGTGGGTTTTGAGAAGGTGTTTGCAAGGTTTGTTGTGGCGTCTGTGGGGGAGTTTGTGAGTTTTCACTAATTGATGGCATTTGACCATTTTGCTGCGGACTGTCGTAGTGATGGTAGATGTGTTGTGTTGATTGTGAATGCGAATTGTATCCATTGCCACCTCCCAAAGCTCTAGCCAATTGATAACCAGCCAAACCCGTTAGAGCATATCCAGCAACACCACCTAAAAGACTTGGTTTTTGTTGTTGCATATATATTGGTTGAACTCCCATACCACCCATTCCACCCATTCCACCCATACCACCCATCCCACCCATCATACCTCCTCCCATCATTCCACCATAGCCTCCATAGTTTGGCATACCTCCATATCCGCCTGAATGATATCCACCATAATTTGGCGGTGGTTGTGCGTATCCTCCATGACTGGCCCCTCCATAATGCCCATTGTTTCCATAATGACTATTATGACTGTTTGTATTCCATCCATAGCTTGGTGCCGATTGATGATTTAAATTCGAACCACTGTTTACGCCCGAGTAGCCTGGTTGTTGTGGATATTTTCCATGGCCCATTGCAGTTGAATAACTCGGCGGTGCAGCACCATGACTTGAATAGACTGGTGGTGCAGCATTTAGGCTTGTTTTTCCTGCACTGGGACCGGCAGAGTAAGCTGGTGGCGGTCCCTGTGGCGCCGATGCTGCATGAGATGCATGTGCGGTATGCGTTTGTTTCGGTGCTGGAGCTGGTGCTTTTGGTGTTTCTGCTAAATGACCACGTCGACGAACACTTAAATTACTGTTACTTTTCGGTCGACTTCGACCAAATCCAAACGAACGTTTTGGTTCACCAACACTCAAATCTATGTTTACCACCAGTAAGATTAAAAACAGAACCAAACAATTGGCTTGCATTTTGAAGCACAAATTCCTAAACAATATTCAGTTTGAAAAAACAAATTCACTTCTCAAGACTTAGTTTTCGTGATGAATCGCTCCGAAGATGATCTTTGACTGAATACATCGTCAATGAAACAAATTCGATAGAACTTATTTATGTACTGCCGCGCTACTTAACTTCAATTATTATTCTATTAAACTCAATTTAGTGTCGAGTTTTTTCCTCGTCGAAAGAAATCAACACGTCTTCGGTCGTATGACGAGTCGTCTTGCATGATCATCTCGCCGATTTGCGTCTACAGTTCACTTACTCAATTTAAACAGCGTTGACAATGTGGCAAACGTACATTCATCTGCTTGTAACAAGCAAAGTTATTTATTATATCACAAAAATGCGAAATGATAAATATGTCCCAACGTACCCAAAACAACGTACAATTTGTTTCTTCTCTGCATTGACAACAGCACCGTCCGTCGATTAGAAGGTTCACTTATTTTGAAATAAGATAATTTTGCAATTGAATATCATTGGCCGCAATATTAAATAACCTACGTCGGTAGATATTCTGTACGTTGACGATAACAAATTACGACAAATTTATCATCTTTCTGGGTTCTAGATGGATCACATAGCATCACAGAAAATCTCGTTTATTAAAAAAATGAACAAACGACACTTTTCTAGTTTCTATACAGTCAACATTGCACTTTGAAAATAATCATTGGTGTTATCGACTCATGTAGATATGTTGTGATTGCTAGGCCGTCTGAGCACGACGGATTGATCGTTTCATAGCAGAAAGTTGAAAATTCAGAGAGAAGATTTGAAAAAATGAGTACTGGGTAGGAAAGAGATGAAAGCCGGGCATTTCTCCTGTTCGTTTCTTAGCGTAAGATTGAAATGAAACACGGTATGTATACGTTATTGCTGATTACATCATCACATTACAAACTGAAACATCTAGTTTATTCGTCTTTTGGATATTTAACGCCGATTTGTTTCCGGATTTCATCCTCGATGTGGGCGATCAACAAGCTTTCGTTATGTGTGACATTTTTGCTTTCCAATTTGCCATCACGAATGCATTTGCGTACTTCTTCGGCCTCGTACCTCAAGCCGCAACTATTCGTGGAATTAAACTGGTATTTTGCCTTCGACAATGGCCACGATATCTCCGCTCCATCAACTATTATTGAAGTCGGACACCAGAATGTGGGAACCTGAAAGAAAGAAAATGGTTTGTTTTAATTTATTCTGTTATTCTTATCACGAACAAACTCTGTGCAATTCTACCGTAATTTGGCCTCTTGTTCCACTAATTTTAGCTGTATTGCTCAACGTGTTCAAAGCACTAGTTTTGATTTTGCCCACTTTATTGTCACCATAATTAATTTCGGCTGCAACTTCGTCGTCGACACCCTCATCGTTCAATTTTCCTGTTGCCGTGATGGATATTGGCACTTGCTTGAATACCCATTGACAAAGCTGGATGGCATAAACACCTAGATCCAAAACGGTTCCACCACCCAAGTCCTTTTTCCTGTCAAATGAAAAGAAAAACACCATGAACAATAACATCGTATTTCAGTTTTAATGTGTGTCATTACACTTACGCAACTCGATCTTTATTTTCAGACTGGCAAATCCAAATTCAACTTCAACAGATGTAACTTCACCGAGCACTCCGTCTTCAATTTGTTTTCGAATGTACTGATAGCTGGGAAAGAGACGTGACCAAATCGCTTCCATCAAAAATAATTTGCTTTCTTTAGCCAATGTAATCAGTTTATGCGCTTGTTTTTCATTGATGCATAATGGTTTTTCGACTAAAACATTCTTTCCATGTTCCAGCATCAATGTGGCCACCTCAAAGTGCTGTGGATTCAGCGTGCCAATGTAAACAACCTCGACATTTGGATCTTGAGCCAGTTCGACATAACTCCCATAGGCTTGTACAATATTGAACTTCTTGGCAAATTCTTCAGCTCGACTGAGGTCACGAGCAGCAACCGCAACAACTTTATGATCATCTTGATTGAGCGTACTCAAAGAGTTGGCGAAATCATGCGAAATTCTCCCAGCGGCTGCTATCCCCCATTTCAATGCCATTTTGATGTGCACCACTGTGCGAATCAATCTTTACTGAAGTCAAAATAAAATGATCGTTTTATATAATGATCTAATCGATGTAATTTTACTATACTCTCTGAATCAACAGTTTGAAAGAAATAACCGATTATGTAAATGATCATCTTCATGAGTTTTCTCATTTTTTCCCGAAACATCTGGCGATAATATATTGGCTAATCAAACTAATGCTTACTTGACGAAATCTAAAAATTTACTTTCAAACACACACTTGACCGAAATACTTGACAATTCAAACTCAAATGACAGTGCGAATAGTTGTCATTCGCCACCGTATGCTTCATTTTATGGGGACCGTTCTTTTTGTTTTCATAATAAACTGAGAGACAGAGACAAATATTTGCCCGATCAAATAAAAAGATAAGAATTTGAATTGATGAAACTTTTCATCGACGGTTCAACTCGATTTGTACATATTAGTTATAACTAATAGGTAAATAAGTAATTACTTGATAATGAAATAGTGAAAATTCCGTAAATACACATTTCTACTTGGTCGATCATTTTTTTTTCAATCGTTTTGGTTTTAAGAGAATAGCAACATTTATTATTGCAACTTGACTTAAATAAAGTTATCAGGCACTTGATTAGCTGTTATTTATTTGTAGGAAAATATTTAATGAAAGAATAAAATGTAAAACATTCATTTCCATTATTTAATCATCTTCTAGGTACTTGACGCCGATTTGCTTCCGGATTTCATCCTCGATATGGGCGATCAACAAGCTTTCGTTGTGTGTCACTTTTTCGCTTTCCTTTTTGCCATCACGAATGCATTTGCGTACTTCTTCAGCTTCGTAGCTCAAACCGCAGCTGTTGATGAAGTTGAATTCATGTTTTGCCTCTGGCAATGGCCACTGTTTCTCGGTTCCATCAATGTCAATGAGTGAAGGTGGGCACCAAAACGATGGAATCTAAATATAATTTTAATAATGGTTCATAATAAATTTATTGGAATTTTGTGTTTTCGCATTATTACCGTGATTTGGCCTTTGGTTCCAACAATTTTGAAAGTGTTGTTCAAAGTTTTTACAGCGCTTGTCTTGATTTTGCCGACTTTATTGTCCCCATAGTTGATTTCGGCCGACATTTCAAGATCGACTCCTTCGTCGTTAAGCGTACCGGTGGCTTTGATAGATTTTGGTGCTTGTTGGAATGCCCATTGGCACGCCTGAATCACATAAACACCCAAATCCAATACTGTTCCACCACCCAAGTCTTTTTTCCTATTGAAAAGTATAAATTTCTCATTAAAATCAATATTAGGAAGAGGAAAAATTCTGAGATCTGACTTACGATAGACGATCGACATCATCTAAACCGCAAAAACCAAATTCAACTTCCACCGATTGGATATCACCCAGCGTTCCATTTTCAATCTGCTTGCGAGCATATTGATAGCTTGGGAAGAAACGTGACCAAATCGCTTCCATCAAAAACAACTTCTTACGTTCGGCATATGTGATGAGTTTGTGGGCTTGTTTTTCGTTGAGGCACAATGGCTTTTCCACCAAAACATGTTTTCCATTTTCAAGCATCAAAGTTGCAACCTCAAAGTGCTGTGGATTCAGCGTGCCAACGTAGACAATTTCAACATTTGGATCCTTAGCTAGTTCCAAATAGCTTCCATATGCTTTTGCAACACCAAACTTCTTGGCAAATTCTTCAGCCCGGCCGAGATCACGAGCGGCAACGGCAACCAATTTGTGATCATATTCGTTTAGTGTATTGACAGCATTTGCAAAATCTTGCGAAATTTTTCCTGCGGCAGCGATTCCCCATTTCAATGTCATTTTTCTCTAATTTTCGCTGTGGATCTCTGTGCAATCGAACCAACTATGAATAGAATCAAATGAAAAATAGTGCTTTATATTTACAATAAACAGTTATCTTATCAAGCGTAAGAAGAGGTAGTCAAATGTTGTCTTCGATTAGATTATATCAAGTGAAAATTGACAAGCGGCACACATTTATAAGTGGTAATAAACGGTGATGTAAATAATCGGAAATTAATTGATCTGTCGTCGTATCATCATGATACGATTTTCACAAGCAAAAATTATGCGACAGTCAAGTATAGATAATGATAACTAGTTATCATCATAAAATGGTTGATTAAATGCTTACTTGATGCAACTCGCAGATTTATTGCTTCCGTAAAATCGTCCGACCCCTCGTTACGCGGCAGATCACAATCAATTGACAGCAGAAATATTCTTTGCTCGACGGCAGCTACGTCTTTTTTTGATTAGGGTGCGTTCCCTTTGTTTTGATAGCAAACATTGGGAGAGGAGAAGCAGATGTTCATTCATTTCATTCGAATGATAAGAGTTCTAATTGTTGTATCAATTTTATTTCAAGTTGAACGTTGTGCAAAATTACGTTTTCGTGGAGTTTGTTTTAGTGAAATATCGGAACTATGCTGATACTTTGTACAAATTGTTCTCTAGTGAAATATCAATTATTAAAAAAATATTCCAAAATAGTCGTTATTAAGAAATACTTTTAAATTTAAATCTCCTCTATTCGATTTATCTCCCAAGTTCATGTCCTCGAACACCAAAACATATATAACTTGAACATATTCATTAAATACATTTATAGCCGGTTTTTTCGATTCCTATACATTTTATACGCATATAGAATAGCACCTCACTTCATTTCCGAGGGTGCGTTCGTGTGCCCATAATGACTCAAGTTCATGAGAATTGGAAAGTTATTTCACATTCCATCGCATTCAGCTTTCCAGTCGAATTATTCGCTTGACATTTGTTATCAACATACACATTGATGCGATGTGTTGTTCACACCTGTGATGAAAACGAGGAACACAACAAAATTCAAAATATTTGCATTGCGCATGCGTTCGATTGTAAGAGGATGAGGGACTTTGACAACTTCAGTTTCAAGTGTACAATTTTTGGGCGAGACGAATAATTTGATTAGACCAAATTTAAAAAAAAAAACTAAAACCAGTTTTTGTAAAACGAAACGTTACCAATCAATATAGTTACCAATCAATATAGTTACCAGTTATGAATTAAAAAAGTTGAACGCACAAGTTTTGAAGTGATTAACGTTGATGAAAATGTTGAAACAAGAGAATTTGGCCGCGAATTTCTGTGGTTTACTAACGCGCCACTATAACTACCGAAAAACAGCAATCGAATGGCGGATTTTGGGCCAAGAGCAGGATGGTTCGATGATTGCATCGTGGATTTCATTATCGGTTAATGAAACGCCCATCGAACGAAGTCACATCGGTCTGTACAATCCTGTCGAAAAGCAATTCAAAATACTGCACTCATTCGAGAAACGAGAGAATTGTATACAAGCCTCAGTCAATAACAGTCACACATTGTTGACGTATGTCTTGAAAGGATCTCGCACTAAACCGTCAACCAATGACATAGCAACAGTATCCGAATTTGTGTACATGCCATTCATCGTTGACGTAAAAACCGATAATGATGCATCATCGAAGTGTGTGCGAAAGTGTCTGATGCCCGAGGGATCATCCAAACAGGTGATGGCACAATTTCTGTGGCAGAAAAAATCGATATTCGAAAAAACATTCGAAGATAAATTGCTGATGTTCATTCATGACGACTGCATTACACTGCTGAAAACTAAATTGGCCAAATTACCGGACACCAATGAAATTGACCTGAAAAATACCAACAGTTGGCAATTGGATACGGATTCAATCACACGTGAAGTGATTGTCAAACATTTTATATGGGCACAATGGGATCCAATTACACAGGCCTTGTTCTACATTCACTTGAAGCCAACAGTAAAGAGCTCGCTTGAAAAAGAAGATGACAGAGCTAAAGAAAGCGATACATCGACAACAACAACACTATCGGCACATCAGTTTCACGAGAATTTACCCAGAGAGACTGTGGTATAACAATCTTTTCGATTTTTTCTGTTTTTTCCCTGCCTATCAAACATTGCTACATCAATTAAAAAAAATCTCTTTGTTTCAGATGAACATTCCATTGAATTTGCCAAACATTCCCTTGACATCCTCAGTACCCGTCTATGATGATGACACAGTACCGCTTCGTATTCATGATTCATCGTTGAATTTGATCATCGTCACCGATGAATCGGGAATGTTATTCGTGTGCCATTACTGTATCTACCAGCCAATCAATTTGCCTGTAGACGAGGAACTAGACTCGGCTATAGTTTCGCCGAGTGAGAGCGAGTTAAAACATGACATTGAACCGACAAAAGTGGAACCCATTCAGGCAGCGACCGTTCATTTCAGTTATTCTGTAACACTGTTGCACCAAAACTGCATAATCCATTGTGCCATCCCAGGAATACCGTTGGAAAAGGCCAAATATATGAAACCAACATTCACAATTCATGGCGATCATCATCTTCTTGTTTACCAAGCCGATATCTTTTGTCATTTGCTCGATGTCGGTTTGACACACGAGCCATGCTGTCACATTGTTTGTGCTCCGAATTTCAACTCACAAACCGAACAGAGTCTCACACATTTGGTGCCATGCTTGAAGTGGGGATCCATTGCATATGACACGATCACTTTGAATTTGGTTTCAATCAACGTTCCAAAATCCCATTTGATTGATGCGTTCAAAACGGATAAATCGATCGACAATCGCTTGAGCATTTTGCACTATTTCCTCGTTCACTCGAATGATATGGATATTTTATCGGAAGTAAGTTTCATTCTATTTTTCTGGTGATTCGTTGTTTAATGTTTTTCTTGAATGAATTCAAATGTTATTTTTCATCTTTGTGTGCATTTCCAGCTCATCGCAATAATAATGGAAGTGGCAGCTAGTTTGGATACAGTTCCACTGTTGAAAGAAGCGTTCATTGCCGGTGCGTATGCATCAACAATGAAAAGTTTACCAAAGGATGCTCTACCATTGGCTCGACTGTTACCATTAACTTCGTGCAATACGAAGAAACCATTACACGCCAAAATCAACAATCTGTCTAATGGAATATCGCATGAAATCCTCCATAGTACAACTATGATGTTGTTATCACCGCAACAACGTCTATCCCCATTCAAGGTCGATATCTGGACGAAGCTTTGGGAGCGTTTGAATGATATAAATAAAACGCAGCCTCGATTTTCTCCCGAGATCGTAGTTGAAAAACTGATGTATTCATTGGCTTGCTATCAACCGGAAGCACTATCACGTTGCACAACACCAATGTCCCCGGGTTGTCCATTATCACCGATGAATTTCATCGATTACGGATCTCGCCGCTTGAGCTCGAATAATGTGCTGCCATTTTTAGAGCTGGAAACATGCACTGCATCGAAACAAGAGCATGTCATTTCAGTGGTGAGTAAAGTCACACAAGGAAAAAGAAGGAGAAAATCCCCGTTCAACATCGTGCTCTTTCTTTTCAGAATCTTCGAGAACTGAGTGTCTACTTGGTAAAGCATACAGCAAAGCAAAACACTGGGTTTCGTTGGTTGAAGGACGCACACATCGTTCAGGCTCCAAGTCATGTCAACACTGTTGCATCGCAATATGCAGCTGCTCAATTAGAACTGTCTCGCGCTCTCTGCGTTTTCGTCTGTCGTGCTGCTGGCGTTGACGCCCGGTTTGCACCATGCCGCGGCTTCACATTAATGTAAGACTACATTTGAACACGACGATGATAACAATGTCTCAATAAAATTTGATTTTAATTAAATTGCTTTGACTTTCAGTGACACTCTTCCATCTAATCAGCTAAGGAAACTATTCATGATCTTGGAGCGCTTTTTCAGTGCGATTGAATCAATTGCGTTCCCATTGCCACAAGGTTTTTCAGCATTTTTCGCATATTTGGGTTATCATGCACTTGATTTTAAAACATTTCTGCAGTACGTAGACCACAATGTCTTCGAATTACAAATTGACGTTCTCAACGGGATCTTCAAAGGTTTTTCTATCAATTTCTTTGATATTTCTTGAAACAAAAAATCGAATTTCTTAAAAACATGATCAAATTGTTCATTGACAGCAATCGGCAGCGATTCGGCAAAAGCGGCGGAAAGGAAGCATTTAATATTATCGAAAGTTCCGCGTTCACGTTCTTATCGAATTTTGAAAAATCTCAATGATTCTCGTACGCTGCGTGTATTGGGTCGAGATCATGCGAATGCGATTTTGTCGGGCGTCAACAGTGCAAATTCCAGAAAAAATTCCAAAACTATGTCAATCGGTAAGATTCCTCATAACAATCACTTTCATCTCAATTCATTGCACGTTTTATCATTCAAAATCACTTTCATTTTGGTTTTCAAGTTGCCAAACATTCAAATAGCTCATACTATGTGCTGATAAACGACGCTGATTCAATGCATAGTATCGAATCGGAAATGAGCTGCGGTTCTGTAGACAAATTTCAAATCGATTCAAACCCTTCGAAATTTTGCAGATGTTTTGTTGAAGTTATTTTGTTCATTTTTGTTATATTCATTTTCATTGTGGTGGTTTTTGTTGTTATTTTTCAACATTCATTTCTACTTTGGATTAGAAATTATTAGCCACATTTATTTATCGTCTCGTTCCATATGTTATCAACATACTAAATCCTCATTCACATGTAAATAATCACTTTATTTAACGGAAATAAATTTTCGGCCATTATCATTTCAACCATTTTCTTCTTATTTTATCATTGACAGAAGATTTTCAAAATGATTTTATGAATGCAATTATTGTATTGGGTTTGATTTTTTCTAGGTCGACAAAAGGAAGATGAGAAATTCTCCCCATTGGATACATTCCTTGATTTGCTAACGGCCAAAGCAAGTCTCAACGAACTTGATTTCAATCTCCTGATTGAAACTACCATGCGCTCTCTCGAAGAATCACAAGTTTAATTTCCCCTTCAATCATACAAAGTGTTCTATGCCAAATGATTTTATTTAGTCAGTATCGCCACGCAATCGTATTATCCGTACAAATATTCGTTTTGTTTTGCTTTTTTATTGTTTCTGTTAATTTTTACCGCTGTGATGTTACCGAACCAATTACATACCGATTTTTCTTTGAAAATAAACGTACAATTTGCAAATAAAATCATGAGAAAAATCATTTTTTCTTTTTTTTTTAATAAGTCCCGAATAGATTGGGACGATCTACATCAAAGCACCATGAAGTTTGCGGCTGAGTATGTTAACCCATTTTCTACCAGGGTGCAAAAGTGGGTTTGAAATGAGTAACCAATAGTCTATCTAGCATAATTTTCCTCTGGAAACTCCGAAAAAACTGTCATATGGAAAAATTTTGTTTGCAGTTTTTACGGAAAATCGATTTTCCGGAAAACCATATTTTTGTAGGCTCACAAACCGATCAATCAAAAACCGTTATGCCCTATTTAAAAATATTAACTTTAAGTCTATTTAGAGTTGTTTTGGCATGAAAAAATGAAAAAAAAGTCAGATGGAAAATTCGTCTTGTAGTTTTCCAGAAATGCCCCGGAAAATTTTTGTTCGATTTTTCGAACATTGCTCATTAGCCCGGGATTCTTTATTATCTCCAAATCCACCCTGGGCTTCCCTAAGTACCTCCTGAACATAGGCCCAGAGGACTTACACATTTTGAAAAATAATGTTCAACACTTGCTTTTTGAGTATATGTCTGTTATTCTTGCCTATCTCTAGGTCAAGATATAAATAGGGATGGCCTTTGTTCGAAAAATCGAACGCTGGTAGAAAATGGGTTAATTTTCTCATTGGATTCGTTTGTAATATTTCGTATTAAAGGATTGATAATAAAAAATTAAATTAAATAGAAACCAGAAATGTTTGCTTGTTCACATTTCATAAGAGCTAAATCTAGAAAAACCATCAGATACGTTAACCCAATTACTGTAGATAGCCATGTTTCAAGTATCAAAACTTAAAATAACCCTAATCTCGACAGTTGATATAATAATGCATACAAATGCATACTTGAGTCAAATATTATTTTACACGTGCCAATCTTTTCAAATTTAGCGGTAATTTCATACTACATTGACAGTTTGCACTGCAATCATTCCCTTAGTGGATGAACTGACTTATCAGAAGTATGTTTTGACATTTCACAATTCAGTGTAATCAAGTTACTTGATGTAATCAATAACATTCAACTTTTTGAATGATTTGATAATACCATATCACTAGTATCATGATAAAATGTTCAGTTTATTGTTTTCATTGATTGAATTAGTTGGAATCAAGATGCGTCCAAAGTTGGTTTTATTCGGGAACGTAATTTTGGATTGCACTTTTTGTATTGAACAAAATTCCGGTATTCTGTCAAAATTCGGGTTCGATCCAAATGGATTGGGAGAGTGTTCATCAGAAACACTATCGGATGTGACCAAAGATGCAGACAAAACGTAAGTCAAAATGTTTACACAAAGATATTTTGGTTTGTTTTTTTTTAACAAAATAAATATCGATTTTCCAGCTGTGAGTTTATTTCTTCGCAAACGGGCGGTTCAGCATTGAACACATCGAAAATTTTATCACTTCTCGATGAATCAGAAATAGTGTTTTGTGGAGCAATTGGAAGCGATGTCAATGGTGCTAAAGTAAGAGAGCACCTTGATAAAGCCAATTTAAAAGTACGGTAAGAAATACCAGTACCTGCAATTCCATTGGAAGAATTTCAAACAACATATTATGTAATCATCAATATAATTTTAGACTTCAATCATTCGATAACCATCCAACTGGAACATGCGTTTGTTTAATCAACAAAGACAATCGATGTTGTTATGCAAATATCGGTGCGTCGATTCATTTCGAAAAAGTGTATTTCCAAAGTCAAGATTTAATCGAACATCGTTCTGAGCTCTCGCCAAAAGTGCACACTCAAATTTTCTACATCGAAGGTTTCTTCATAACGGGCCAAAGATTTTCGGTATGTAAATATATCGTTGATGAAGTATGCAAATCTTCAGCTGGTGCAAGAATATTTGCAACAAATTTGAGCGCTGAATACCTCATTGAGAATCATCCGGAACCAATCAAATACCTCGCAGAAAGTGCCTCAATTCTATTCGGGAACCGAGACCAATTCAACAAACTGGCTGAATCGTATCAAATGTTTCGTGCTGAAGATGTTATATCGCATTTAGTCGAAACCAAATCAAAAGCAATTAAAGACAAAATAATCGTTTGTACACAGGGAGCTGGGTGTGTTTTATACTCATCAAGCTCTCAGATGCTTGTAAACAAAGAATTCCACTTTGATCCGGTGCTAAAGGAGAGAATAATCGATACAACTGGGTGCGGTGATGCTTTCGTAGCTGGATTCTTCTACGCCTATCTGAGAAATAAATCAATTGTCAACTGCGTTGCCAAGGGAGTCGAAGTGGCTCTGAAAAAAATTACCTCGGTCGGCGGCACAATAACAAGATAGTAGTAATTCCCGTTTTCAATTGAAACATTGTTGAATACGTAACATGAAATAAAACAAATGATTTTTAGTGACTTATTTTTTTCTTGAATATTCTATTTTTATGTATTTCATTTTTGCGTACATAATTTTTTGTTTGATTATTTCTGTAACCTGTTTTTCGATTAGTGTCTGTCTGTTGGGTCTTGTAAAAGATGGACTCATGCTCAGATTTGATATGACCATGTTGCTTGAATTTCTGTTTGCATAAACTCTATTTAGCTTATGAAAATGGAAAATTATAAATAAACAGACAAACTTAATTTTTGGCTTTAAGAAAAGTCACAGATGTGGGTTGTGTGATGAATTACTATTTATTATTCTGAATATTAAAAAAAAATAAAAAGTGATCCTCTTGTTGTTCTCTGTTGTCTTTTCAATGCGTCATAACTCTTTGCAAATGAAATTCAATCACAATCCATCCAGAACGGGCCTTTGTCGCCCTCAGTTTACAAGCCCTGGTTCTCATTAAGCTTAAAATTTAGAATAAATTTGTATGTACAAATTGTTTGATGTGGTCGATTTTCACTATGTATCGTGTCTTCTATCTTGTATGATATAAAATTTGTTGTTTTTGTTTTTTTTTTCTTGTTAAAAACCAATTGCGAAAAAAATTGTTGCATTTTTTTGTCATAATCATGCGAAACCGATATTTGTTCAAATTAGTAATTTTTGTGCCATTAAAATAATGAGTGCTGGTCATAAAATTACATACGATTCAATTTGATTCTTTTGATTGAAACAAAAATCCACTAAGAAATCCATTTCAATTGTATTTTTTTCAATATGAAGTTATCCTACGATTACTCTTAGATCTGCTTTTGGGACGTGATGTTGGTTTTGTCTACGGGGAATAAAAAAGCAAATTCTATTGCTGCAAGATTGGTAGAAAAATGGGAGGGGTTGGTGTTGTTGGCAAAAGCAGCACAGTTGATAGAGTTGAAAGCACTTTTATTGGAATTATCTGATCTGAAAGTTGAGTGTGACTTGAACAATGTTGCTCTTGCATAAAAAAAATTCCTTCAATTTCAATCAATGTCTAAAATCGCGATGCATTTTAAATTATTTTTGTCGAAACGATGGAACTCCCATTGTTGTCTCTCTTGAAAATGAGCATGAGACATAGTCAACAATCATCATTATTGCTATATGTAATTTGTTCTTCTTAAACTGTTTGATGTGACTCATTTTTTTCTCTCTTAAGAGTGTTAAATCAAAATATATGGTTTTTTTTTGTATTCGGCCCGGGAAAAAAACCCTGACCGACAACAGATGTTCATGTCAATATTTAAAGAAAAAAAATGTCACAAAAATTTTGGAAAAATGTGTTTTAAAAAGAAAAAAAAACGAAAAAATATAACAGTAACAATAATAACGTTAAATATAGTTTATAAATAAATCGAACATAAGCTAATAGGTTTTCATTCGTTTAGATTTGTTAAGTGAAGGCATTTGCTTTCATCGTGAATATTTATCAAAAAAAAAAACAGTCGCATAAAATCCTATCGAATTTGTTTTCATTCCTTACATAATAAATATCGTATGCACTTTTGTTTATCGAAATGTTGCTTCCCGCTGTTTATAATTAGTATTATTCACATATGTCTGTAGCAAACATCTTCCTCTTTCTCATCATCAATGTTTTACTGATACCTAAACTTTACGATTGATTATGCTTTAAGTGGTGAGCACTGAATCTTTTTGGAATAGCTCATTTGATTTGTCGTCCACAATGACGGCGCTAGCGGCGCTGCCACTTGACTCATTCGTTAGACTGTAGTTGTGTGTAGCGTTCAGTTTATTTGCATAGTCCGACTCGAACCGCATGTAAGAGCCATGTGGTTCTGTGGAAGTAGTTGCACCAACTGTTCCATTTATTGTTGTCGATGGCACTGGATGGTCAATTGGGTGTCCCGTGAGATTTTCGTCGTTGAGCAAACAATTTAAATCTACTGCCGACACGGAAGTCACATCCAACAGTTTGCTCGAATCGTTCACGTAGTCGTTATACTTTCCGCTAAACTGATCGATCGCTTTGTTATCTTTGGAACTGCTGGCTGTTTGGTTTATGCTCAAAAAGTCTTCGGTCACATGATTATCAAACAGAGAACCATTGTGAACACAATCGTTGGTTGGATCTCCAGTCGATATGTAGCTCGAGCACGACGAAACACCATCGGTTGTGGCAATTGGAACAGTTGTGGGAGTTTGAATGCTGCTCATCAAACTACTGTATGGAATATTGTTTGAATAGTTTGAATAGCTCGGAATTAGCGACGATTGATTTGAGATGCCCATTGTGTTGAAGTCAGTGAACGCTGTCGGCGTACTGCTTGTATAGTAGCTGGAGTTCGGATACATTAGCGAATAGTTTGCTTGCGTTGGATCCACCGAATAATCATTTCTAAATGCATAATGCAAATCCAATGGTGTTTCGGCCATCGATGCAACCGCACAATTTCGACTAGAACCATCTATTTCGTTTGCTGTATAGTGGCTATTCATTGCAACGCCCGACGTCGATTGCATCGTTGTCGTTGGGTATAAAATGTTATTCGCAGGATTGTAGGTGATCAATCGGGTGTTCATGCCCCCGGAATCAACCACGGAACTTTCATCATCACTTTCACGAAGCCGCAGCCGTCCATCGTACGTGTGCAGTGTATTTTGTTTGTCCGATTTCTTCTGTTTCTTCTCCAGCTCCAGTCGCATGATTGTGTGTATAAAGTGCGTCCGCACTCTTTTCGGATTGAATTCAAGGCGACCATACACATTTCCGCAGCCATCGGTCGAACATCCGCACGGGAAACTGGCGCGATCCACCTGTCGGAAGAAAAACAGAGTTAGATTCATTCTAGTCATTTTCAAATTTGGTAGACGCTTAACGATATGTTTAAAAAAAATCAGTATCAAAAGACAAAAATATGTTGAGCACCGTCCGTATGCAAACTGAGGAATGGTACTGCTTCTTCTTCTTAACACATACTGAAGAAATAATGACAATACACTATAAATATTCAATATGGCCGCTTCCATTGTGCACGATTGTGTGTACGATAGTATGAAGAAGAAGAAGTAGAAGCATGCACAAATGTCATACGGATGTTGAGCACGAGCAACTGGTGAATCGTTACACTGTTATTGCCGAACTTAGATTCTCACCTGACATTTGATTCCCGACTGACTACACAAGCATGTTTCCGGGTCACAGTAGTCTCTACAGCTGCAGCCGCAGACTTCACGAGACGCTCGTATGTCACGGCATTCATTCTTTTCGCTTGAGGCGATTTCCCGTACGCCAGCCGCTTTGAGTAAGGCCCTCCGCTGTTTTTGTGAAACTGGTTGTAAAAATCCAATTGTTTCGGTGTCTAATTCAGAGCTGCTATTATCACTTAAAATGTCTTCTTCGCTATCAGATTCTTCTGTCGATGATCGCGATCGGTCATCGCCAGACGTTGTGGTTGTCGTAGTTGTGGCTGTTGTAGGTACAGTTAATTGATTTGTGGCTACCAGCGCTGGGCTCGGTAGTATTGCATTCATCGAACTTGTGCTTAGTGACGACGGCGGCCGGGGACTTCTTTCGAGCATTTGCTGCCGGTGTATTCGCTTCTGTTCAGCTATATGTTCATTCAGGGTGAATGACTTTTCATCGATATGCTTTGAACTCATGCCAAGAGTGCAGCCCCCCTGTGATGGAACGCATGTGAACCCTTGAATTCGTGGAAAGTAGTAAACGGTTACATCTGTAAATTGGATATTTCGTTTTGGTTTCTTTGCGTCAATAACATCGATTTGGTCGCTCGTGTTCGATCTTCGTTTTAAATTACTTCGTGATGGATGCACTGCACCTGCAAAGGGATTTTCACAAAAATTATCAAATTGAGTTCAACCCAAATGAAATGTGTAAAAAACTATGATGAAAGGAGCTGAGGCTTACCATTTGGTGAAGCAGTTGTTTTATCGGCTAATAATCCCGCACATAATTCTATACCTAAGCCCGAATCGGAGCCATCACTTCGAGACCCTTCAACTTCTTCCGTAATTTCATCGTCCAGTGTCAAACCAATCGGATCAAACGAAACATCACCGATGCCAACATCATGGTTTATAGTCGTTTCACAAATTAGCCCGCTTTGATTTGTGTCTCTTCTCGATTCGCTTGGCGGATGCGTTGTAGTGGCAATTTCCAATGTATTATCGGCATAAGGAACGGGAATTGTGAAGGAGTTTTTCAAACTATTTACATCTACGAGTATTATTTGCCCATCGTCCGAGCTATCTAAATCGCTAAGATTAAGATTTGAATTCCTTGACACATAACCGCTGGCTACCTCAAGCGACCGGTCACCAAGTTCATCGTCCAATGCTAGTGGATCAGCTAATGGATCTAAATCATCAATACTGTACATGCTATCTGTAGCGATCTCCTCTTCTTCTTCGTTTGAATTCATGTCTGGTGAATTATTTTTCGATCTGTTGATTGAACAAAAAATAAAAATATTCTCTTTTAAATTCAAGTCTATATCCACTTCACAATCCTTATTACACTCACCCGAAAAGAGTCTCAGCATTTTTTTGTAAATTATTTAAAAATGATTTGAAAGGCCTTAGCATTATGCACCGTAGCCCACTTCATGTATTAGATTGTTTTTCCTCTTGCTGTATTAGATACAAATCTGAAATGCAGAATGAAAATTGATTAAAATCACTATTGAATCATATTAAAACTGTAGTCACATCATTATTTTGTTAAAAAACTTAATCACAACCCATTAATAAAATCCTTTTTGACTCAAACTCGGTGGCTAATCAATTATAACATTCATTTAAAGAAAAGGAAATGGAATGGAAGAAAAGAATGCTATCGCTTTAACAGTTTTGAGAATTATGTCGAAATGATATTGCATGAATCGTTGATTATTACAATCAACTGAAATAGTCGACGGTAAAAATATAGAATGGAATTCAAAGCGTGAGTAAAACCACTGAGAGATAAGAAAAAAGCTTGGCGTGTAGCTAAGGATTAAAGCAGTCTTGAAATATGTATCCATTCAGCTATTAACGGTTCGAGTTATTTAAACAAAAATGTGCAAAAAATGTCAGCGATACTTTTGGACGGCTTTTGTTGGCACACAAAGTCCAACCAACTGCTTTTTTCGCAATGAATATTTAATAGTTTAGCTTGCACTATAACTGTATTCGCCTTCGGATTATTCTTCCTCTACCACTACAAAACACTATTTATTCGAACGGAATGTCTCACATTTTGCAAAAAGTTTCGTCTTCCGTCGGAAATTACTTTTTCACAACTCGAAAATTCACACGCAAAATAAAGATCCGAATATATAAAAATGAATAACAATTCTACGGTGTATAACAAATGAACAGAAAAAAATTTCTCTGCCGCACATCGGGATCGAAAGCAGTGTAAAACGTAATGAGTTTTACTTGAAAATCCAACACACCATTACAGTTTTTTTTTCTGTCTCTTCTCTCAGCGAATGTGCTTTGCGTAGAGTGCTGTTGCTGTTTGGTATAATATTTGCTGCTCGACTCAACAAATTTTCTCTTAGTTAGCGCTTTGACAAAGATAAGCTACTGTGTGTACAATGAATGAAACGAGAAAGAGAGGAAAAAAATAGATTTGTATATGTGTACGATGTGCATGTAGCGATGAAATAACGTTTCAAAAATACCATCATGTACATATATGATACACTAAACAGTGGGACCAGCACACAGCCGAACACTTTTCCAATACACACAAATATGGCCCACTAGTAGTGAGCCAGTAGACGGAATGAGAATAGAAAAAAAAATACCTTACATGCACAAGCATTGACTGGATATGAAGCGAGACACCGTACACTGCATAGCAATATATAGCATTGTGAGTGTTATTCATTTCGTTTCACACACTATTCGATAGTCTTTCTGTTGTTCATATTATTTTTTCTTTCATTAGTTGGTGTGTTTTTGTGTGTTTGCTCTGTTTTCTTCGTTGTTCGCTTTTGTTCAAGTATTCGATGCTTTGTGGCCTAAGCACATACTGACATTCGTATGGTTAGAGCCATTCAATGATATTCAAACACAATACACAGACACACAACTATTTCACAATCGATCGTGCATCAGTGTTTCCGTGCACGTTCAACAGGAACATTTCGCATTATATTTTTGTTTGGTTAAAATATGACCGAAGCTTTGTATTACCTATTGTTTCGTACATTAAGTCAAAAAAATGGAATTGTTGAATTTTCCCTATGCCGTTAGGATGCAGCAAGAATAAAAATTCATGAAACAATTTGACAGTATTGAAATGTTGACCTCCGAAATAAATCGAGAATGAAATGCGAAAGTGATCAATGTTTCCTTTCGAAAATGTTACGTACGCATGTGTTTGTGATGTCTGTTGTAGTATTACCATATTGATGTGAGTCGAATGGCGTACGTGCGTTTGTATGCTTGTCGGCAAGCGAATGAACGAACAGGCAGGCGTTGAGGCGAAACTGTTCACATAGGCAAATTGGTGGTGCCGTTGTCCAATACGTTTTTATGACATAATTACTCGCGAAATGTAAGGCTCGATGTAGCCAAACAAAAAAGCACTATGCACGTATGTGTGTTTGGGAGAAAATTTTACGAAAGTGTGTGTGCGCGAGCGATTTTTATGGGGCCAATATAAAATCAACGGTGGTTCGTATAACATTGGCGCGCGTATGTCAAAACGATTTGTGAATGTGATTGAACACATACGACACGAATGGCCCATGTTTATGCGTGTGCGTAGTTGTTTGAAAATTTCGAATCTTTCATTCAAATGAAAATTATGAAAACATTCTTTCACTTGCAAACACTTACCAAAGGATTTTTCTTGACAAAAATTTATCGTCTTTTATTAGTTAATCTTTTTTCAAAGAATATTTTCTTTGTCTTGTCCTATTAATGATTCAATTACTCAGAACAATATGAATTAGTTTCAATGTATCGTTTTTATCGTTTTGTTGATTGCTTTGTTTTCGTTCACTTTGTTTGAATTCTTGTCATTTTCGCAGATTATTTTTTTTTCTTCAAAACCAATTTTAATTCATTTTCAGTAACGTTAAATAAATTCGAACATTTCAATAAGTTTTTTTCCCACAGTTTTATTTGAAATAATTCCACATTCACATTGAATAGCACACTCACACTAGCACTGTCTTTGTAAATTCATTTGTTGAAAATCAAAATACTGAATCGAACACATTTCCGAATCGAAAATCTCATAAAAAAGTGGAAAAATAAAGAAAAAGTAAAAATTCACAGAAAGCACCAGACATTTCGCATGGAAATGTTTGAATATATCAACATTCTGCTTTTTTTGTCTTACTCTGTACGCAAATTTATCCTTAGCGCTCTTGGATACATTTCATGACTGAGCTACGCGATTATATGTTTTGTATTCATGTAATTCGCTCAAGGTATCGCACGCAAACGTGACACGACGCATACAAACGCCATCATTGAAAACGCTGCGTTGCCACAATTGCACGTAATAAATGTTATGCGTCATAGTTACTTCGCGTGAATCTCAACCTAATTGAATACTTTTCAATGAAGAGAAACAACGCAAAAAAAAACATCAACGAAAGCGCGCGCGTGTGGCAAGTGTAGCCGAAATAAATGCGAAGCAAAGTCAATAGTTCGTAACGGGAAACTGTACGTCATCGCCTACCCATGTTCGTTTATGCGATGCTTGGTGAATTTCCGTTTTGTGTTATGCTTTTTGAAAGGATTCTCATAGCAACTTATTTTTTGATCAAAGTGTCTGTATGACATTTTCATATTCATTCGCATTTCCCCCCACCCCACTTGTTCATTGTTTTTCTTTGATTCGTTTTGACTGGAAGTGAGCGGAGGCGCACATGACATAAACAAACAAAAGACATTCGGCATTCGGTGTTTTCTATATTTACTACTTCATTTTATCTCTTTATTTCGATTTTATAATTTGAAAGACTAATTCATCATCATTTCCTTATGAATAAAACGTTATGAATAATGAAGCCTTTTGACTTCGGAAAAAAATATAAATAAAATTTTTGGACACAATTTTGTCGACACTTCGTGTTTTGCGGTGAAAAGAGAAATAAAAATCTATGTGGTCTGGGACTAGAAATTCAATCAATCTGTTTGGCATTGAAATTACTTTACGAAAAAAGGAAAATATATCACTTATAACCTAATGCGTGAACCAATCACTTGCAAAGTGACGTTCACTGCAATCAGTCAATCTATACTTTGGCACACGAGAATACAGTTTAAATCGTTTTCATTGAACGTACAATGGTATGACTACTAAATAAATATCAATGTCAGAAAGTTAATCTTGCATTAAAATGTTGACGCCTTCCAGCGATCGCATCATTTTGAGTATATGCTCATATCGTCTCGCGATTCCATTTCTATCGAAACAAGTGCGACGCCACTTGAATGTTTATGGATTGTTGGAGGGTAGTTCGTGACTGGGTGCATTCAGCAGCTGCTGTAATTTGGCAGCAGCTGGGAACGAAGCTAAATCCAATGGAGCGGCACCGGTTGTACTTTGAATGTAGGTCAAAAGGCGACGCAATTCCTCCAAAGCGTTCTGTTGCATCTACAAGATGAAGAATGGAAAAAAGATGATTTATATAGCAGATGAATGCAAAATATTGTCCAAACAAAGAACGATCAGCCAAAAGTTGAAGCTTCATCGCCGTGTTGATTGAAACATGGGCTATGTTAGAATTGAATTAAGCCAACAACACACTTACAAGAATATAATTTTTAGCTAATAGGAGTGTAGCAATTTTCGATAGCTTTCGAACTGATGGTGAGTGTGCGTATGGAATGACGCTGCGAAGTTCATCAAGAGCATCGTTTAAATCGTGCATTCGTCGACGTTCACGTGCATTAATGTTCAATCGGACAGTCTTTCCTTGTCGGTTTTTCGTCTTTCCTGGACCAGTGGTCGGTGCTTGGTGGCTTGTGGGTGACCTTAGAAAAACAGAGAATATGACAAATGAACAAAACCGCAAAAGCCGCATCAAAGAAAGCCATAAATAAATACCGTTCTCTGCTGCCACTTGGTAAATTTTCATCGGTTTGATGTTGGATGTGAGATGGCGATAAAGCGCTTTGTGCATAAAACCCGCCGATACCAACATTTCCCAAAGGTGTCCGACGGCCTGGTACACTTTGCCGACCGGTTGGGCTGCCGGCCGGTGCTGGCGGAATTTGGGGGTTTTGCATCGAATGAGGTTGGATGGTTGGTGGCGGCGGTGGTAGTCCAGATGACAGATGAAAGCCGAAGTTTGGATTCATTGTTGTTATTGTAGCTTTACCAAAAGACCTAGAACTGAGGAATGAAATGAGACGAGTAAGCATAGGGACGCCAAATAAACCGTGCACTCAAAAGTTCAAAAAGTTTAGAGCGGCCATTAAGAGATGGCGTTAGTCAACGTATTCCTTTTATAAGGATACTTGAGCTTCAAATGAATAAAATAAGAATACACAAAATTCCATTCTCTAGCGTTGTGCGCTTGTTCCAATTAGTTTTTTATGATAAAAAAAAGATGCTTAGCAAGGAAATCAACGAAAATATTTCTGTTTTGTTCTATTTTTTTTGAGTGAGAGAAAATAGGAATTCAGAAATAAATACCATTCACGTCGCCCTTACGTCAATTTGAAATCGTGCAAATATTTCACTAATTTTATGCTTGCTGTATTTTCAGTGTAGATAGTAGAAAATTTTCGTTTTGTGTGTGAAAATTATTTGCTTTTATGTGAAAAAAAACTAAAACTGAAAATATCTACAATAGCAAATAGCACTCAGTCACACAACACGTCAACCGCACTACACAAACAATAATAAACCGGAGAAATGGGCGAAGAGAGAAAAAATCTCAGTTCATCATCTGTGATGATGAAGGCAATAACAAAAGCAGCACCAGCTACAACAGTCAAACATTATATTCATCATGAGCATTACATTTACCATCAACACAAAATCACACAATACATTCGAATTATATCCCGAAATATGATGGCGCTGGCAGTGAGCGAGAGCGACGCGCGAGACCAAGCAAGCGAACAAGCAAACGAGCGACGGCTACAAATTGCAATAAAATTTCAATGTGCGAGATGTGTTTATTCGCTTTGTATGTGTATTGGTGTACAATAACGGTATCAATATATGGTTTGCACTCATCCATTATTGAATGCCTACCGAATAAGTGAAGGAAGATGAAGAAGAGAATGAATGAAAAAGAAAAATCACCCCAGCAGTTGTGTACTCGTTTGTTGGGTTCAGATGTCAGTGTGTGTTGTTTAAGCGCGTATGCGACGCGGCGACACAGAGATGAGAGAAAGAGAGGAATGTGATGGTAAATGGTAGTGAGAGATGCGGTTCGCCTGAGCAACTGGCAAACAATACACATGCACATCTGATGGAGAGTAGATGTGGTGTAGTATTTGTGTGAATGTGTATGTGCAGTGCACAGAGAGACGAGAACCCCGAAAAAAAGGACACACTCGCTCTCACACACATTGTCAAATGTTGGGATTTTCGGGTCTATAGAGGCGAGTGAAGCGGACCGAATGTAGTCAATAATGAAAAGAAAAATGGGAGTAAAAATTTCGGGTGGTTTGATGCTTTTAGTACAGTGTATCCTAACAACAGTCGCTTCATCACAAATGGAAAACCGCTCATGTTTTAATAGCACTTACAGGGACAAGCGGTAGTTTTCGAACTTTTGGCTTCAGTCGTTCCTCTTTTTTTGCTCTGCTCTACCCTCATTCTTTATCTCTCTCTCTCTCTCTCTCTCTCTCTCTCTCTCTCTCTCTCTCTCTCATTTGCTCTCCTCTCTGCGTTTATTTTTGCGTCGTCTTGTTCCTTGCACTTCGGTTTAATATTTCATGCATTTATGTATTTTCGGCGGTTTGATCTTATTTGAAGATGCTTTGCTATAATACAAATAGGCGAATATACGAAACGAACCCCTTCCCCAGAACCACACAACCAGCCAGCCACGCGCGCTCCAGCAGAGAGCGAGACCGAACGAACCTGAGTTCTGTGTCGAATATATCACGAACTGCATTCATATTCCTCGTCGTTTTTTTTATTATGTTAATTTATAAAATCGCATTTATGTGCATCGCAAACGCGATTTACATACAGGCGCGCACACATAAAAGATTGAACGTGAATAGATTTTCAATTGACGAAGCAGCGGTAATACGTAATACAAAATAAATATGCAAAACTATTTTCGGGTGGAAGGAAATCCAAACAGTATCATAGTAGCGCTCTAGTATCTCAACTATTTATTTTTTTTTCTTGTCGGAAGAAATTAGTTTGGTGGAAATTTGCCAAATATAATATAAAACAGTTCGCAATTTTGTGTGTTGCACTTTTTTCTTTCGTTCTTTTATTCTTTCTCCCGCTATCAAAACTGAATGCACTGAAATTATTGTATGAAGTTATTAAATTTCTTCTTTATTAAAAAGTAAATATTTTTACTTGTTTCCATTCAAAGAGCATCAGCAATTCTCCCATGCGCGCCCTTCATTCCTTTCGATTATTCATTTCTTTTTCTCTATCTCTCTCTTTGGCGAGTCGCTATTAAATTACATTGTATTTACTTATAAGCAACAATCGATGGCGGTATTAATATATGAAAAATAATCGCTTGGAATGTTAAATAGAGGCTGATATTTGCTGTGCATGCTTTATCTCATGGCAAAATGTATTTTTATTTGCTCAGATTTTATAAGTTTGCATCGTTTTGCACACACAACAACGATATAATGACTTTAACTAGGAGATAGCTATCTCTCTGTTGTGAGCTCACATTCTCTCGATCTTTATATGGTATTTATGGCACTTACCGGTTACCGCACGATGTGTTTGTGAAAAGCAGAAAATCCTTTATTTACACTAGATTCTTATTTATTTAAAATCTTATTTTGCCTCAATCAATAGCGTCGTTGTCAGGGTACGTGTGTGCTCTTGATGTTCGACACTTTGTCTCGCTCGGGCGCTTGCTCTGCTTGTATATTTGTGGAAGCAAATATTTCACGATGCCATCATGTGATGCTGTATTGCAAACAGGGTAGATAAGGCATGAGGGGGACGAGGAATCAGACGTCGTTGCGAGAGGAAAAAAAACGGTGAAACAAAATAAAATCCACTTTACCAAAGAGATAGAGAGACAGAGAGACGAACACAGACACACACAATTTAGTGTAGCGATAAGAACTGAAGCCCACGTTTTGAAATGGAATGCAATCGAATTATATACCTAACTTTTTCAACACTTACAATTCAATTGAACTGGTGTGCAGGCTGTACAGTGTACAATGCATAGAGAGGTTGAATTTAAGCCGCGATATATTATTGATGACTGATCATAAAAGCGCTAAATTCGATCAAAAGAAGTTTGAACGAGCAAGAGAGATACAGTGAGAGACAGAGAGAGGAGAGAGAAAGCAAAAAAATGAAAATAATCGGAAACCCACTGAATCCACTAATTAAAGTGTTTCCGATTCGCATATATGTGGGTGATGCGTTGCCATACTAATTAGAATTTGTGACTAATCCACCGCATTTGAATTTATTTTGGGGCTGCGAAAAATATTCCTTTCATGCATCGCACTCGGTTGGCTACGAAGTTTCATCAAAGTTAATTAAAATTAATTACAAAGTTGACATTCATTGGAAGAGGCCCTGGTATTAATACTAAATTACTGATTTTACCCGAAAATTTTCGACGACGAAATTAGATGCATAAAAGTTTATTTACTTTCGATGGCAAATGAAAATGAAGAAACATAAATTATTTCATAAAATTCTAACAATTTACCATGGAGAACATTATTTTCCACTTTAGATGAAACTTGCCATTCTCGAATTTACGCTGCTCAATCTTTTTTAAACCTGTGAACGTGCGCAAATATTGAATTTTTCTTCATTCACTGATGCTCGCTCGTGCTCGGGCTCATTCTCTCGTTTTCGTCGATAAAGTTGTATTATTATTTTTTTGTCGTGTTTTCAAAAGTAAATGCTCGCGTTCAATATACCGTGTACAAATGCTGCTGCTGCTGATCATGCTCTTGCTGATGCTGTCGATGGAACAACCGTAGTAGTTGTGCACAGATGTGCAATATAATTTGAGATATTATGTATTAAAACGCATGTGTCCTGAATCGTATTTTACGAAAAATTTGTTGTGTTTGCTTTGTGTGTTGTTGTTGTTGTCGCTGCTGCTGCTGCCTGTCGCTGCTCTTACGAATATATTGTATTTGATTGTCAATTTAACCCTCATAAAATCATTCGTACAACGTAATATAACAAAAAAAGAGAAACACAAACGCTCTCGTGCACATGTACAGTGTACACACATACAATTGCACACAACCGTACGCTCACAAATGCACACACTTTCCGGGGTTTATGCTATAAACATTCATCATTTTCAGCGCAGCAACAGCAAATTGCAACTACTACTTGATATTGAGATGGAAGAGAGCAGCAGAAAATGAAAAATGAAGGCAAAAATCGTAATCGATCCAGAACATATTTTACTACCACGGCGATGTAATCATTTCGTATCACGAATACACTTAGCACAACCGAAATCGATTTTAAAGTTGCTCTCGCATCTTTCGGTGGGGTTCGAGTTTATAGATTGCAGCTGGACCCATGCTCTCTATTGAAACCTTTTCCACAAGAGTACAAGTTAATTTTGACACTGGCTGGCAAAAACACACACATCCAACACAAAAAATGAAGAGAAAACACACAAGCGACTCTACGATGATGAAATTTCAGGGATAGAGAATATGTTTTTTCATAACTAAAAATCCTGGAGAAAATTGGTACTTTCATTGTTTTATTACAGCACAATAACGGTGCTAACCCCAGCTTCGCGACTTGTCATGATGATACTAATTTTAGAGGGCTTTATTGCAAATGTCGCTATGCCATCCAGTCGCTGTTTTTTCTTCTTTTGAATGGCAGCAATTTACATACTCTATATTCCCTTCGAAATATGCCTACAATTTTCGGTTATTTTTCGACCATAATTTTCGGTTTGAGCTAAAAAAAATGAGTAGCAGAAAACAGCTAACGCGACACAATTCCTTCCATTCCATCTCACCGGATTTTAATTTTTCATTTTTCTTACAAACGATTTCTTCTTCATTTTTTTCCCTTCTTCTTTCTACTTTCGTTCATCGTCCCCGCGCGACACTTATTATTACTTTAAAAACCGCTTTTTATGTATTGCAATCTCATGACGAATATTTGTCATCGTTTAATTGGACAGTGTTCGCGCGCAGTCGGCTGCTCGTTTCAGCGAAAAATTGCCGGGAACGCTGACGAAAGTTCTAATGAATCTTATTATTTTTCCACCATCTCAGTCAAGACTGAAGTTATATGCGTGTGTGTCAGTATGGAAGACATAATGAAAGCAATTTGTATGCAGATTTAGAAATAGGCAATTAATGAATGATGCCAATTGGAATAAATGGTTATGAGAAGAAAAAAAAGTGAAATTTCTTCGCAGAAAATGGGAAATGATTGTTCTTGTCGTGAAATCGTTCGCCGAGGGAAGGAGGGTGGAATGAGATGCTTTGCGTGATTTACTGAAAATAAAGCAACAGCATCCACTCATTCAAAACAATGATTTGAAAGAATGTATACCAATGTCGACTGAATCATTCAATTGAATTGAATCACCGTGAATTGAATCAACAGCCATTTCCATGGCTATAACTCATGAATTCAATCGATATTTCTGCGTTGTTGTTGTCTCTGTGATTTGTTTGCTGTTACCTCAGCACATACTTGTCGATGAATTAGAAGCAATTGTTGTCGAGTGTGTGCTTCGCTCGATTCGCTCCACTCGCTTATTCGTTCGCTCGTTCGCTTGCCAGCGCGCACTCTACATATTTCGAGTGA